CCCGCTAGCAATCTCCTGCCATCGAGGAGAAGCAACAAACCGCACCTGGCCTGTATGCTTCAACCGGCGGACTGAAAATGTTCTGCTTGGTCTCGAGTCTTGACGTCTCAGATGATGATGGTCTGATCATCTCCACCACTCGCGATTCGCTTGATATGGCGACTACTCGCATACAGCTCTTGTGCCCTTCAAATGGCACTCCCACCAATGTTCCTTTATCCACATCCCAATTCGCAGGGTGTGGTCTCTTGACAACCCATCGACCACCTCTGAAGAACATGGATACCCACTGTGCCCGTAATGCCCTCGAATCATGCGTGTTGGCGTCGATTGTCCTAATGTTGTCCGCGCAGTCTGCCCACCCAAAACATTTCTTGCTGCTATATCACAGCCAGGCACTCCTGACATGTCACGTTGACCTAGACAGAGATATTGTAGAAGGTCAGCGTCAGAGTGAACTTTGTGGATATAGAAACATCCACGGTGTACAGACTGCCTCGTGTGCGGAGACTCGTACTACGTAGCATACAGATCAGTGTTGGTGTTGGATTTCCGATGGTCTGCCCCACCGACGGTGACCCTATCCGGTGTTGAAGAACGGCCAAGTAATAGACTCCACGTAGACTCTGGGGCTCTGCTGGCTGACTTCGGTTGGTGTCTGTGTAAACGCTGCTCGACGATGGCATTGCGCGCTCGTCGTAACCGGTGGTGTACTTTGTACTGAAATTATGCTGTATGCAACTGCTCTAGCTATGGGCCAGATTTGCTAGAATCATCCATGAATTACTTTAAATCATGGATATCATGATAGAGACGGGAACTGGAACGCCAGGGAGCTCACATGAGTACGCGCGGGGGTGTCGGACAGTCGAGACATGGGCCCGGTGCCAGTACCGCATTGGTTCTGGTTCTGCCACCTAACAGCAACAATAATTCTGTCAAACCAATCAGAATCTTCATAAGTATATGCAGGATATAAAAGCTGGTCGTCATCGTACAGTATTCTCCCATCCTCAAAGATATCTTTCGAGGACCCCTTCAAAAGAGTCCATATCGCCTCGCATAGAAAATGCGTTGTTCTCTCCTAGCCGTTGTTCTTGTTTTGACAGCATCTATGTTTGTCAATGCATGTGGGACTGAGGAAGACTCTTGCAAAAGAAATAAAGATTGCTGCACGGACTATGCTTGTGCCAATGACGGGGTGAGTATGAACAGGTCGTTGTGCAATCAGGATTCAACCACATGACTCGTTTGCGCGCCTCAGAGTGGAAGGAAGGTCTGCATGTTGCCCGATTTATAAATTGAGCCGGCAGCCCGAGCGGCACGTCGCGACAGTAAGTCACGTTTCTGCTTTCGCTTTGGTATTATATCATGGTTGATGGTGCAATACCTAGTTCGGAGCCAATCAGTACAGTTGTTTTGGACAAATGTTCATACTACTCGAGCAATGTGGATGTTTGAAAATGATCGACCGTGCTTAGTCTTGCTTGTCGCCACTAGTAAGCTTGATTCGGAGAGGCTGTTGGAACGAGCGATCAATGTTGTTGATGATTGATATTGGGAGGTCGTACGAAGATGGAACGCACTGTGCAGCTTAAATCTGTTCGCCTAACGTTGGACTGGAAGGCTAGCTCATGGATCTCTTTCTCTCTGTATGTGTGTGTTGAGTTCAACTGTCGAAACGAGCGATCATTTTTGTTGATGATAACATTAGGACTCGTCGTACGAAAAGGGAGCGTACAGCGCAGAACTTTCATTATAATCTTGAATCTGTTCGTCTGACGTTGGCATCCGAAAATTCGTTGTTGTCGAGAATACAGAGCTAGGAGTCGCGGCTCAGGCCGGGCGAAAGCCCTGGTCACGCCGTCAGTTTGGCCTGGCTTAGTAGCTCGCCTCATGGCCGGGCCGTGCACATCACTAATCGGCTCCAGAAGATATGTTACCATTCGACTGACGTACGTTATTTAGTAAAGGTAGGACTCGGTGAAGTTGAACTCCCTCGCAAAAGGTACAAGCTGAGTATTTCTCTTGTAACTTAATATCGTGCCCACATTACTCGCATCTAGGATGCATGCCCTTCCCTTTTGAATTCTGGCTGTCTTCCACAACGACATTTATCTTCCTGCTCGATTATGTCTCACAACGGTCATTTCTTTCCCTCCTCGACTTCTACAACAACTGTTTCTCTCCCTCTTCGACTATGTAAGGAAGCCTATGGTTGTGGCGCTGGACCCTCGCTCCGACTAACACTTCAACTATAGTAAGCACTGCTGTCTGTCTTTTCTCTTCCTACTTCATTCTTTCACATTTCACATTTTACTTCTCTCGGTGACCTTTGTCTATATCTCTTCATTACCGCTGCCTCATGTTTCTCTCTTTTTACTTGCTTTAATGTTATTTCCGTCACTCCTTTCATCCTTCGACCACCATTCGATGACACTCGCGTGCACCTTCTACTTGTATGCCTTGCTGCTCACTCCTGTATGTAAAGCCCATGTACTTTTGTAGATCCTGATTGAATTCTGAATGATCATGTAGATTATGGCATGGCTTTATGCTCCCTTCGGAAATGGGCTATGGCCGATTAATCATGGTTAGCGCTTCAAGGAGCCAGTCGACGTGTTGGCCATGCTTTGCTCAAGGGTATTCAGCTCATGCCAGAGGTTCTCTCTTTTCTCCCACCTTCTTCTTACAACCTCACTTCACTTACAGTAATCGGCTACTCGTGATGAGTAAAGACCATGGGCCAGATCCTCCTCCAGAAGCCCGCGAGGCAACCGTTCCTGAAAGCTCGGTATGTAGTCTCAAGGGCTTACTCACTTTGGATGAGCGCTCATGGCTGCTTCTGACGCTTTCTTCGCCCAGAGCCGACCCCGTAGTCGAGTCAAGCAGATTATTCAGAAATTTGCGAAAGGCGTCACCAGGACACTTTCTGTGAGTAGACTGCCAGGTTTCCTGATTCTGAATATAGTTGACATTGTGCAGAAACTCTACAAGCATTTCCGCAGCCGCGTTCCTGGGACCCAGAATGTGAACCTTCAAGATACTTCGTCGAATCAGAATATCGAGGTAGGCGCTCGAATTCCTAATCCCAGTTCGATTTTTTTAATCAGAGGCGCCCAGAACACGCCACATGCGCTTCCTTCCACCGACGACAACCATCCCACCGCAGCTGAAAATCCCAGCAGCCAAGACACATCCGGAGAACCCGCTTCGAAGGTACTCGCATCAAATTATATGGTTCTCGTCTCTAAATTTTGTTGGTCGCGCAGATTCTCGACATCTCCTCTGGCGTCGAGGAAGCCCCTGGTCCCAAATCAGTTGATGCTGAACTTCAGGATGCCCACGAGGCTTCAGAACACATGAAAACATTCGGGGAGCGTGCGCAGTCTGTGATGTCCGCCGCCAGGAGCGCCCCAGCTGGTCTCGCTGTTGTAGATGATTTCCCGACCAATTACCTCCGGCCCCTGAAAATCTTCGACAGTGCCATCGAGAAGATCGCAAAGGTATGGAATGCTCCCCTTAATTGGTAGCGAACTAATCAAGTTATAGCTGCATCCATATGCAAGGATGGCGTTGGGCGTACTTTCTGCTGCAGCCAAAGTACGTTATATGTTGCCCGGAGATCTGCCTCCCACTCAGAAGTCATGATCCATCCAGATTATTCTTGCTCAAGCGAAGCGGGACGAGTCAGTAGATCGTCTTCTCCAGAAATTAGATGAAGTCTATGGCTTCATTACCGAAGACGACAATCTTTCCAAGGTCGAATCGATGCATGATGTCATCGGAAAGATTGCTCAGCAGACTCTCGAGTGCGCCCGTTTCATCAGGGAATACTCAGAGACGAAGAGCTTCTGTGAGTCGTCGGACTATTGCATTCTCACACTGGCACGAATCTTATACTTACCATGATAATAGGGAAGAGAACCGGTAAAAATGTCATCGCAGAAACAGATGATATCATCGCACGGTACAACAACGCATTGGACGGCCTTATGCAACAATTTCGGGATCAAGTTGATCGGGACGTAGCTATATTTGTCCAGTTTGCGGGTAATGATTCATACGCACCTATTCTTCTATATGCACTCATGCTCTTAAAGGTGAAATACTCGATCTCAACGGCATGACTTATGCAGCGGGAGCGGGACTAAATACCACGAAACAGTGCCTACCAGGGACGCGCAGGGAGATTCTTTCCCAGATTACGAACTGGATCAACGACAGCGGAGATGCCGCTAAACGTGTGATGTGGCTATTTGGCCCCGCAGGCAAGGGCAAATCAGCCATCGCGCACACGATGGCCGACTGGTTCGAGGAAACGGGAGGCCTCGGTTCATGTTTTTGTTTCGATCGGCATAGCGAAGCAGACCGTCGCCATGAAAAGATTTTCTGCACCATCGCGCGCGATCTTGCTGATCGTGATCCGGGGATGAAACGAGCGTTAGCAAATGCAGTCAAGAACGCGACCTGGCTCAAGAATACGACGGACATTTTCCAGCAGTGGCGCAAGTGGAACCGCTGAAGAAGTTCCCTGGGTCAAGCGTGGGGCCTGTATTGATCGTGATCGATGCGCTGGACGAGAGCGGCGGAGTGGAGACGCGGCAGGACCTTCTCCGCATACTTGCCGGTAAACTTCAGAACAGTGGACTTCCCCAAATCACCGAACTCCCTTCCAACTTTCGGATTCTCGTCACCTCTCGCCCGCTTCCCGACATCGAGAAGGGCTTTGAAGGCGCTGATCATATTCTACGGTTGTCTATGGACAGTATTCCACCAGAATTCGCGGAGCGCGATATTCAGGCTTTCGTATCTGAGGAGCTGAAAGAGCTATCAGAATTTCAGGACAACCATCTTGCAACGCTCGCTGCAACAGCGGGTGGACTCTTCGAGTGGGCGCGTCTTGCGTGCGGATATATTAAGGAGCCCTATACCGGCTTATGCCCAATGGACTGCTTCAATGCTGTCGTGAACCGCAATGCTGGGGAGCGGAAAAACTTGTTGTATGACATGTATCGGCTCATCTTAACAGAAATCATGCCAAAGGATAAGTACACACCGGTCCATTACGAGCAAGCAGTAGCAAAGTTTCGCTCTGTGATGGGCCAAATACTTGCCATAGCCGAACCGCTCCCTTTAGTTTCACTGAATGCTATGCGGCACCATTTCCAGAAGGACCACGACCATTACGACGTAGATCTAGTAATCAAACGCATGGGATCCCTCCTCAGCGGCACCACCGACTCACATACCCCCATCCGACCCCTTCATGCGACATTCCAAGAATTCCTGACGGATGAATCATCCAGCGGAGACTTCTTCGTCGAGAGAACGAAGGGGCAACAACGCGACCTTGCATTCGCGTCGCTACGAGTGATGGAAGATGGTCTTGGCTTCAATATCTGTGATTTGAAGTCGTCGTACCTCCCTAATTCCAAAGACACGGAGCTGCCTGAACGAGTCAAAAGATCCATTCCCCCACATCTGTCCTATTCCTGTCGATATTGGGCTACACATGTCCAGGCAACGAAGTTTGACGATGAGCTCGCAAAGGAAATCAGATCACTCTTCGACGACGAGCGACTGATGTTCTGGATCGAAGCACTTGGACTTCTCAATACAATCAGCGGTGCAGATGCTGTGCTTCCATTCGTTGCCAAGTGGCTGAAGGTGAGCACATGCTTATGAGGCAGGGTCGGACGAACAGCTCATCCACAAATACAGGGCCATTCTGGATACGAAGATTTGCAGACCGCCACGATGGATGTCCAAAGATTCATTCAAGTGTTTGGCGGCATGATTTTGCACAGCACATCCCATCTGTATTTATCAGCACTCCCGTTCTCGCCCGTCAACTCTACCATTGCTACCAAATTTACGGCTCGGTTTCCGAATAACCTTCGTCTGGCATCCGGCCGCGATTTGAACTGGACGGCTGTTCAAGCCATAATCAGGGGTCACACTGACTCGGTTGGGTCAGTCTCGTTCTCACCGGATGGTACTCGCATCGCGTCTGGTTCATGGGATAACACTGTGCGGCTGTGGAATGCAGCGACGGGACAGCCATTGGGTGAGCCCTTGAAGGGGCACACTGACACGGTTTACTCAGTCTCGTTCTCACCGGATGGTACTCGCATCGCGTCTGGTTCAGAGGATAACACTGTGCGGCTGTGGAATGCAGCGACGGGACAGCCATTGGGTGAGCCCTTGAAGGGGCACACTGGCCCGGTTTGGTCAGTCTCATTCTCACCGGATGGTGCTCGCATCGCGTCTGGTTCAGCAGATAACACTGTGCGGCTTATGAAAGTGCTACCATCCCTCGAGTCAAGAGAGCCGGATCTCTCTGCATCTCCACTGCATCGAAGTACCGCACCTCCCCCTCAAGAAAGTCGTATCACGCCAACCAACAGTAACCATTCCCTCATTTCCTTCTCGTCCTCCCTGAAACACGCCCTGCCCAACCCCGCTGACTTGCTCGAACCCACCTCTGATCATCATTCCAATTCAACCCCTTTCGTACTGCAGCCTGATGGATGGATCATGGGACCCAGTCATGAGCTCCTTTTCTGGGTACCTCCCGCTTCCCGACACGCGTTTTATACTCCTTGGACGTCATTGGTGATACCCAGAGGATACCCTGAGCTTGATTTGAGCTGCATGGCACATGGGACGCGCTGGTCGAGTTGCCGAGATGCGTGAGTTCTTAGTCTTTACCATCCGTCCTCGCAGTTGCTCACATCAATCCCTCCAGCTCCAAATAACGATGATTTTGTTGCTGCAATATCGAGTGTACTATTGGATTTCATGATTTCCTTCCTACTTTATACCTAGCACCCATCTTGAACTTATCGTTGTTCGACTGAACGATGCACTGGAAAAGCAGACTGGGCGAACCTGCAATGTTGCTGCTGATTCGTAGCGAAAACTCATTTCATAAGAGACGCCCTTAGATATCATGCTGATGTGTTACAGGTGCTTCGGTATTCCTGATGTCATCACCGTCGGTCTCGATCTAAGTGTATGTGATGACGTGGCTGTAACTTCGCACATACAGAGACACAAGAACGACTTATCTGACGAGATCATTGAACAGCACTGTGCTCCGTGCGTCTCTATTTGTAAATTTCTGAGCGGTACCTGAAGACTAGGATCATACTTGGAATCGATATCCTGGTGTGCGTGTTCCTGTCCCTCATCATACTTCTTTGTCGGGTTCTTGTTTGATTGATTTTATGAAGAAACACCTCGTCAAGATAGATATTTAGCTACCGATCAGTCAACTACAGAGAAATGATATCGATCAAGAACGGAAAGTCAGATACATACTCTGAGTGTGGTGTGCAAGAGCGCAAATCATGCACAAGGCAGGCCTAGCCACAACGTGTGAGAGAGCTCATGTAACTTACGGTACAAGAGCACGCAAGAGGAGGCGTGCGTTCAATGGTTCCATTATTTACAGGAATTTAAAGGAAAAAAACACACTTACATAATGCAAGTGAGAGGATAGCAGGTGCAGGAAAGTGGTAGCATGCAGCAACAGGCGCAAGAAATTGGCGGGAGGTGTTGCACAGCATATTCCTGAGGATTTCTAAAATTCCTGGATGCGTGCCACATACATTGAAATCTACTCGTACAATCCGCTTCTCGAACCTTGAGAACAAATACAACATACGGTGCGGACACATTGCGTTCTTCACTGATACCTTGTCCCGAAAATCCCCTCTTCGTATGATTTGATTTCTGAATGTCATCAAGCTCATCAGACCAGAATCAGGAGGAGAGAAAACGACTTACGCAATGCGAGATGCTTGGAGTGGAACCTACAAAGCGCCAAGTTCCCCATCATGCACCATATACCATTGAGTTCCGCGTTCTTGCTGCGCCCACCAACTTCGCGCCAGACGCTATTCAGCTCTCCTTCTTTGTCAAGGCCCCAGATAGGATACATTTTATCATGCAGGGACTCCGGAAGCAGAGCACGATAGGCATGACGTGCATCAGCGTAGCTGATAATAATGTGAATCACAATGTCTATTGGTCAGTAAGAAGAACGTACCCAGTTGCGAAGATCACTACGTCCGCGTCGAGAGTAGAACCGTCATCGAAAAGTAAACCTGTCTGGGTAAAGCGCGAGATTGGCCCATCGCTCTTGAGTTTAATCTTCCCGTCGATGATCATCTGTGAAGCTCCAACGTCTTGATATTAACATTATATGGTCAGTGCAGACACGCTCCAATCAGTAAATGGACCAACCGAGATAGTATCCTCCTCCCTTATTCCATGCCATAAGTAGAAAGCCAGAGTCGTCGTCGCCCAAAGTTGTCTTGAAGCCTCGTTTTCGCAGGCCGTCAAGAAGCTCCCTGAATCCCTCCTCCATCAGGCAACCGGAATATGATATGTAATCACGTACTTATCTGCATCAGCAATGTCTTTGGTGACACGTTGGTGTACTAATTTGAGCAATGAATTTGGGTAAGACGCATTCACGCGATCCGCGACATCAGTAGGAGGGCCGCCCTCCCAGAAGATCGCTGGGTGCGTTTATAATAGCAAAATTGTAAAATAACAGACAACTCACCCATTAACCTCGGCATCCCCTCCCTTGTGGACATGATGTAACTCGGGCTACGTTGAACCATGGTCACATCTGCGCCAATTTTGCTTAAACACCATCAATATGCTTTAAAAAATCATTTACCAACGCCATTTTCGACATAGTCCGCACATATGTCATGCGCTATACTTTATGGTGAGCAGTGAAGATACAACACTCATGATACGACCCCTACCAGACGTGCAAGCGCCAACAACGACGACCTTCTTCCCTGCGTGATCAGTTGCAAGATTGTGATGGCTGGAATGCAATATCTGCCCCTTGAAGTCGTCCTATGTGGGTATTTAATGTTAGCCTAAGGATCCTACATTCATGGATCGAACGAACCTGCCCTGGGATATCTGGAACTCGGCCTATACCACTGCCAAAGCCCAGGGAGAATACGACATGGTTGACCTCAAAGGTACGCTCGCCTCTGTCAGGACGTTGGACCGTGACACTCCATTTCTTTCCCTTCGTACCCGGAATGACGGACATGACCGTAGCGCTGGTCCAAACGTCGAGCTCCATACTGTGTGCATATGATTCTAGCCAATCTGCCAGTTTCAATGCAGGAGCGCTGCATAACGCTTTCTCCAATTATCACCAATTCTCTCGTTCTTTTCCACTACTAGAGTCTTCATGCCAAGCATCTTAAGCCGGGCTGCAACGTCGAGCCCACCCTGCCCGCCTCCTATGACTACGACGCTGGGCTCTTCGTCGATACATTCAATTTCACGTGCACACTTCGCGGCCCACTTTCCATGGTTTGGCTGGTAGTCTCGTCTGGGCCCATTCTGTTCTGGAAAACCTTTGAGATTTTCCAGGTTCGTGAAGACGGTATGAGCCTTCCATGAGCCATCTGCGAGTGGTACAAGGCGGAACACGCCAGATGCAATGCCGACTGTAGTTTCAAAGTCAAAAAACGCCTGAATCCAAGCGATATCAGGGTATGGTCTCTGAAGCTCTACGAGATCTTCCCTGAGTTTGAAAGAAGACAAGGTAAATAGTGGGAGTTGGTCTGTGAACAGAAAACATGATATTGCGATTGATAAATTGCCAGAACGGAGTTTCATCGGAATTGATATGTACGGACCTCCAATTTCGGCTCTACTTCCTGGTCAGATGTTCACATCCATCGTTGGAATCATGATAGGGGATGCATCATGAAGCTTCTGAAGAAGAAGAAGAAATTATAAGATTTAATTTGTTCGCGAAATGAACAGGGGAAGAGCCGACGAACCCCTTTGTTGGTATATAAACATTATACTTATAGCTATTTAACCCGCGGATAGGAATAAAGGCTTGACGAGTCCCTGCATGTTTCGCCCACACTAAGAGGTTTAACGTGCACCGTATAGAGTATGATTATGCTGGGAGTAGCGCCGTAGTATCGGATCAAATGATAAAGCTGAACGTCGGATAGAAGCAAATGGCGCATGGTGACCGACTTTATATGATTGTATCCGAAGTCTGATGGGAAGATAAAATGTTGATCGTGAAAGAGATCATTGTTGCCCCAGCACAGCCACGTCTTCGGTTGGTAAGATCGACTCCGACTTTGAATTCAGCTCACAGTCAGCGACATTCCATATCAGCCGAGTGTGACCTGCACGCGTGTAGCATAGTTGCGGGACAATATTGGAGTGCAGCCCAGGGGCACTTCTCATGCGTGGTATTAACAGCTCTGTCGTGACCATGTAGCCTGCTTACGCCCAGAGGGCCAGAGATAAGATGTTGTGGGTAGAAACAGCAACTGACAAGGACTTCGATACATGCCCTGCCTGCCAGGGTACGAACGAAAGTATGTCAGAATCTGTCTTTCGAAACGCGTATCTCTCGGTCCCAACGTCCATCATGATATAGACAGCAACCAAATATCCGATTTGCGCAACTCTTGTATCTCCCACCACGTCGCGGCCACAGCAAAAGTGCGCCACGATCAACTTCGATTCTCGCAAGTGAGACTCCATATCATTCGGTCGGACCGGCTCATATACCCGCCAAACGGATAGTATGACAGAGACTCGAACTCGGACCGATCGCCCATGCTCCGTGCCATCATCTGGAAAGTCAGGCAATCCAAGGTCATAACAATTCAACAGATGAACAAGCAAGAGTATCTATTGAGTGGACCGTGCCGGCGAGAATTGAATCAGTTCGTCCTCCGTGGTGACCAGTAGGTCGTTTAGCCCGTCCGCCTTGACATCATAGGTGAGACATTTCTCCTCCACTCACGAGCAATGATCCATTGTGTTCCACATCCGTACAGCCGAGGCAGTGATAATGAAGGTGCTATCAGAAGAGATGGCGAGCGAGTAGATAGCGTCAGAATGATCGGTGCAAGGTTGATTGATCCAGTATCCGTTTGACGAGTTCCAGAAGATGTCATTTGCGTTGTTTGATGCGAAGACAACCGCACCTGGCCTGTATGTTTCACCAGCGGACTAAAAATCTTCTGCTTGGTCCCGAGTCTTGACGTCCCAGATGATGATGGTTTGATCATCTCCACCACTCGCGATTCGCTTGATATGGCGACTGGTCGCACACAGCTCTCGTATCCTTCAAACGGCACTCCCACCAATGTTCCTTTATCCACATCCCAAATTCGCAGGGTGTGGTCTCTTGATAACCCGTCAACCAACTTTGAAGAACATGGATATCCACACTGCGCCCGTATGCCTTCGAATCATGCGTGTTGTCGTCCATTGTCCTAATGTTGTCCGCGCAGTCTGCCCACCGAAACCATTTCTTGCTGCTGTATCAGAGCCAGGCACTCCCGACATGTCGCGTTGACCTAGACACAGAGATATTGTAGAAGGTCAGCGTCGGAGCGTACTTTGTGGGATATAGAAACATCCACGGTGTACAGACTGCCTCGTGTGCGGAGACTCGTACTACGTAGCATACAGATCAGTGTTGGTGTTGGATTTCCGATGGTCTGCCCCACCGACGGTGACCTATCCGGTGTTGAAGAACGGCCAAGAAATAGACTCCACGTAGACTCTGGGGCTCGGCTGGCTGACTTCGGCTGGTGTTTGTGTAAACGCTGCTCGACGATGGCATTGCGCGCTCGTCGTAACCGGTGGTGTACTTTGTACTGTACGTTCAAGTTGTGATCAATTCGGTTTGCTTATGTAAGTCACTCTCGGTACGCTAGAGTCAAATTGAAATTATGCTGTATGCAACTGCTCTAGCTATGGGCCAGATTTGCTAGAATCATCCATGAATTACTTTAAATCATGGATATCATGATAGAGACGGGAACTGGAACGCCAGGGAGCTCACATGAGTACGCGCGGGGTGTCGGGGTACAAGACAGTTGAGACATGGGCCCGGTGCCAGTACCGCATCGGTTCTGGTTCTGCCACCTAACAGCAACAATAATTCTGTCAAACCAATCAGAATCGTCATAAGTATATGCAGGATATGAAAGCTGGTCGTCATCGTACAGTATTCTCCCATCCTCAAAGATACTGTCGCGACGTGCCGCTCGGGCTGCCGGCTCAATTTAAAAATCGGGCAACATGCAGACCTTCCTTCCACTCTGAGGCGCGCAAACGAGTCATGTGGCATGAATCATAGATATCATGATAGAGACAGGTATTGGAACGCCCGGGAGCTCACATGAGTACGCGCGGGGTGTCGCGGCACAAGACAGTCGCGACATGCATCAGGAAAAAACAAGGTGACTATATAGTACTATATAGCCAGGGTAGACCGTATAGCCAAATAGCTATCCCCCCTCTATATAGCATGTGAGGCAACTATGTAGTACTACGTAGTACTATATAGTGCTATGTAGAACCAGGTAGCGCTACTATGTACTACCATAGTTCCCTTAAGTTCTACTACAGGCAGCTACATAGCACTACATAGTTCATGTAGCGCTACTACTGCCGGCTTCAAGCAGCTATATAGTCACACATATCACATATTAGTAGTAGTAGTAGCACACGGAATCGCGAAAACAATTGAATTTGAATGCCTAATAATGAACCAGTCAACCTATTTTACGACTCGCTAGCCTCCGCATCATCCTGCTCCTCAAGTTGGTACTCTCGGATGGCATCTTCGAATGCCGCGTCACTGATCCGGGATGCAGACGACGAGATAGTGAGGGTGTCAACACCTGCATGGAAACTTCAAAGCACAAAAGTAAGAATATCATTTTGAAAAAGAACACTGTTCAACGCACCGAGCCACGTCGTGCAGATTGACACGAATTTTGTCGAGGAGTTTGTAAGGCGCCGTCCGCTCGTCGAAGCGCTGCAATGAGCAGAAATGTCCATGGTAGACAGTTCCATAAGTAGCCGACGTGAATTTGATATCTTCCTTCAGACCTTGTAACCATTCGTCGATACAACATTCAATCTACCAGTGATTCATCAGCGCCATCAAATTGAATATAGAATAAGAGACTCACAGTTGTAAGCACAAGAGCGATAACTTCGACGGGCATAGGATTAAAATATTTATGGTGGATGACGCCTTCATCGTGTCGATTCGCGAACCACATGATGTTGATGCCCAGTTGCAGTAACTCCGTCTTGTAGATTCCCTTCTTCGACTCCCAATCCTATTAGTCCAAAGAGTTAGTACTTGAAATACCATGTAGATCATCAAAATATGTACCTTGAAAGCAAATACAGAACCGTCTTTCAAAGACTCTGCTAGATCCCTATTCTGTCGTATCACATCGTTGGAATTGCTCGACCGGAAACCGAAAAAAGATGCTGTCAGTGAACGCATTTTTGTTTTGAGTTCCCCGCAAACTTGTGATGTGCGGGTCAATAGCTTCGCAAAGTATGATATAGTAAATCAGTCGAAGAACACATGGAGATCAGACGACTCACCATTTTGACACCTGAAGGCGTCAATTTGACATTGATGCCTTTGATTTGACATGCCTCATGCCAGGCTGCTTTTGCCAACTGCGTCTCGACAGCAATGTTCTCGGGAAATGGCACCTGGGAGACTATCAGACACCGGAAAATAGAGGCTGCCGTCCCCAAAATCTCTTTGGACACATCATCGAAGTCACTGACTTTCATGCGATGGCGTGAACCATCTGAATTTCTCTTGATCTTTGGCAGTACCATGCCATCGTCCAAAGTCTCCGAGTCGTCAAGTGGACGCTTGGACCCTCGAGCTATCGGCGACAGTTCTTCGGCAACGTAGTCGTTGTCCTCGTCGTCAATGCGGTCTTCAGGTCGGCGAGACTCACGGTCTGTCGACTCATCTGACTCGGAGTCATCGGATGGACTCGAAGTCGGAGCTGCTCGATAGTAGCAGAGGCGGATTAGTCTTAGTATACAATCAAAAGACTAGACACATACCTGTAGTAGTAGCCTTGCGCATGGCACTGGCGTTGCGCGACACTGGGGGTATTTTACCAGCACTGAATGTCAGTACCTTTGATTTGGACCGGGACAGCTTGGACACCATGTCGCAATCTGAAAACTAAATAAAAAATTTAATCAGTGATTATTCTGAGTTGCGTCAAAGAAAATGGGTGAACATACCATATTTTCTTCTTCCCTATCAATGCCGCTATGCAGCTCAGATGGCTCTTCCTTGAAGCTGTTGGGATCAGCATCGTAAGCAGCCCTCAGTGCTTTTTTCTTCTGTTTTTCTATCTTCTTTTCCTTGGTTTCTTGGCGATGGGTGACGTGCTGAGACTCAGAGACTGTAGAGTCGCTAGTGAGTGAGATGTTCTCGCTCAATATTGTCAGGGCTTACCACGGTAGTTTTCTTTTTCAGTTGGGCGTCGCTGTCGACCACTTGCGGTGCGTGTAGGTGGTGGTACTCGTTGCGCTGGTTGCACGTCCTTCGATTTTGCGTGCTTCGAGGCGACCTTGCGACTGGTAGCCATGGTTGTCTGCAAGGGAACATTAGCTCACGGTAAGCTGATTATATAGCGCTATGAAAGACATAAACAAAGACATCTAAACCTTGAATTTTTTTGTTGATTTCAGGGCGTGTAAAGTTCAGAGCTAAAGCTGTGATCAACAGACGGAAAATGATAAAAGCAGCGAGCGTACCGTTACTGCAGTGCAACATTCCCCTACCATGGTTATCTCAGTCTACAAGCAGTATGTAGTCTGCATCAAATACTCACCGGCGCGCTCTGACAAATTGTATAGTCCAGTGTCCCCAGCCATAGGCGACAAAACCGCTACCAGTAAAAATGGAAATATTATTGTCAAAAGGTTAGTTGCATGTCTTCATCACAGCCCCAATGCTCACCGGCTTGCAGGCCAAAGCTCAATGAGCCTATGTATCCACTTCCTCCGCCGTTTCGCCAAACACCCAGCCCTGTCATGGTTAGTCAGTCCTACTTGCAAAAACTAATTACGGAGTGTTGGGAGGCGGAATTGAAGAATTGCGAGCATGCAAAAAAGTTGCAGCTCTTGGAAATGGTGCCGGGTCCAGCTCTTACCTTACTGCAAGCAAACTTGCGAAGACTCATTGTAGAGCGCTGGGAGGCAGAAGTGAGGCGCTGTGAGGAGGCCAAATGGGCGCAACTGTTCGAGTTAGTGCTTGCCGCCCATGGTATATCGAGACTAGTGTAGTGTGGCGCAGTAACCAGGGCAGGGCCTGCATTTTAAAATCACTTATTAGTAATCAGTAGTCCAAACCAGTGATAGAGGATAGAGTCGGACAGTGATTCTGGATCAGCACCGTCGACTGAGCAATCCTCCGAGTCGCTATTCTTCTGGATCAGCACCATCGACTGAGCAATCTTCAAGGGGGAGAGACATACCTTGAGTTGTATGACCTCGATGTCATCCGTTGGATCCACCGTGACAGGCCTGAAGTGCGCACCAGATCGGTGCCTCCACAAAAGGGTTAGTTACAGGGCCTGCCTTGAAAAAAAACTCATTAAAAAATATTACGAAGTTAGAAAGCAACCTCGGAAACACTCACCATAGAGCAATATTCGCTGTTCTCGAGTCGTATGACCTCGATGTCATCCGTTGGATCCACCGTGACAGACCTGAAGCACGCAAACGAGTTGGATCCACCGTGACAGGCCTGAAGCGCGCAAACGAAAGTCGTCTCCAAGGGTAGTGTAGTGTGCCGGCAGGGCCTGCCTTTAAAAAAAACCATCAAAAAATGTTTTGAAGTTAGCAAGCAACCCACTCACCATGCCTCACTGCGATTTCTGTGCCAAGGAGATGGGCTCAAAGGGAGGTGTCAGGAGACATATCAATAATCAACCTGACTGTAGAAGGCAGTGGGAGCTGCTGGTTGAAACTCAAAAAGACATCGGCACACCTCAGGCTCGTTTTGACTCGTATTCCTCGTATTCCCCCCATCGCCGCTCACGCTCTGAGTCTTCCAATCCCGATCATCCAGACAACCCAGCAGCGCCAAAACATCGGAGGGTGACCATTGAGGAGGTTGAAGACGAGGACCACGCGCGATATTTTGAACAATGTGTTGGCGCCGGCCAAACACTGCGTGAAGGAAAAACCGGCTTTGAGAGGTTTCAGGAGTATAAGGAGTGTATGGGCGAAGACAAATGGGCTCCCTTCGATGATGGGTACGTACCAATCATTGCCTGTCACATCTGCAAGGCAATTAACTTCAGGTCGCAAGGGAGGAATGGGGACTTGCCGAATGGCTTGTTAAAAACCTCGGCCAGACTCGAACAGACGAGTTTCTGAAATTACTGATAGTAAGTTCAAGTTTAGTGTTGAATTTTGAAGGATTCGTACTCACCATGGCGATAGACACAAAACCGAATGAAACCTTCTTTTCACAATAACAGATCTTTCCTCCAGAAAGTCGACGAGCTTCCACACGCGACAGCCTGGAGTTGCAAAAAGGTTAAGGTCCAGGGAAATAAAACAGATGAGAAGGGCCAGACACTGCATGAAGAAGTCGAAGTCTGGATGCGAGATCCTGTCGAGTGCGTCAAAGACCTCATTGGAAATCCATTGTTCCGTGATCACATGGTGTACGCACCTGCGCGAGCATACAGAGACCCAGCAGGACTTCACCAAGTAATTGACAACATGTGGACGGCTGACTGGTGGTGCGACAAGCAAGTAAGTACACCCGGAAAAGCAAAAATGATAAGTACTTACCTATGGCGTCTAGATACTGTTGCCGAAAGGTGCGACAATCGCACCCATAATTCTTGCTTCCGACAAAACTTGTCTGTCGCAATTTCGAGGCGATAAATTGGCGTGGCCCGTGTACCTAACCATTGGCAACATTGCGAAAGAGAAGAGGCGGCAAACATCAGCGCGAGCAACGGTCCTTATAGGATACTTACCTGCTGGAAAACTTGATTGCTTTACTTCTGACGCGTACTCCCTTGCTGGTTACAGGCTTTTCCACCACTGCATGTCCTTGCTCCTCGAACCCCTCGTTGCTGCTGGTCGAAATGGTGTTGAGATGGTCTGTGCGGACTTGTTAATCCGTCGAGTCTTCCCCATCCTTGCTGCTTATGTAGCCGATTTCCCAGAACAATGTCTTGTTGCATGCTGTAAAGAAAATCGGTGTCCGAAGTGTTTGGTCACTGCCGATGAACGAGGGGATCCATTGACTTCGCAGATGCGGGACCCTGAGGTGACAAAAGATATATTAGAGAAGCGGAAGAATGGTCAGCATCCAATTCAATTCGACGACAACGGGTTACGCGCCGTCTTCAACCCATTCTGGGCAAATCTCCCTCACACCGACATCTTTCTTGCCTTCACGCCTGACCTCCTCCACCAGGTCCATAAAGGTGTCTTCAAAGACCACCTAGTTAAATGGTGTCTTGAGATTGTCAGTGAAGATGAAATGGACTCACGCTTCAAAGCAATGCCAGATTACCCTGGACTTCGGCACTTCAAGAAGGGTATCTCGACTGTGAGACAGTGGACGGGTACAGAGCATAAAGAAATGCAGCGTGTCTTTGTTGGTCTGCTCGCTGGTGCTGTCCCAAGGTAAGCATTAGTAAGCCATGCTCAACAAAGGCTGTACTGACACAATTAATGCTAGTCAAGTCTTAGTGGTTGCACGAGCCATTCTAGACTTTTCATATTATGCACAGCTTCAAATGCACACTGCTGAATCCCTCGATGGTCTGGAGAGCGCGCTTGCGGTGTTTCACGCCAACAAAGACATCCTGCAAGAGCTTGAAGTTCGCAAACACTTCAACATTCCTAAATTACATCAAATCTCACACTTTGTTAAGTCCATCACTCTATTTGGTTCCACCGACGGTTTCAACACTGAGCTTCCAGAACGACTACACATTGATTTCGCAAAAGATGCCTATCGTGCCAGCAACAAACGCGACTACGAGGAGCAAATGGCCTTATGGCTTCAACGGCAGGAAGCCGTATTCCTACGTAGTTCTTACTTTGATTGGTTGTCAGAACGATCTCAGTCAGCCACAGCGTCCAGTCACACAGATCCCAACCGCAGAAATGACTTGGATTCAGACTCGGACGCCGAGATTGAAGAGTTTGCTGCCCCCACAAATGCCATTCCATCATCCCCCACTGTGTCATCCCCCACTGATGTGGTCCGTATTCTCGCCAAGCATCCTCCACACCCTCGGCAGTCTGTTGATCGCCTCATCACTGCACATGGCGCCACCATGTTTCTCCCCGCCCTCAAATCTTTCATGCACGAGCACATGCCACACAATAACATCATCCCCGGTCCACATGACCGGTTTGATGTTTATCGACAAGTCATCATAGTTACCCCGCCTGATCCACGCACCAGTGACTCACCAAAGCGGTGGCGCATTAGAGTGACACCTGAAGTGCAGCCTGGTCCTGCCAGCCGAAAACCTTGGTCCCCCGCTAGATTCGATATGGCGCTGATAAGTGATGGTGCTCGGACGACGAATTTGCGGACACTCGAAGGTAAGCATTGGTTACTATTCAACGCTTCAATGTCACACTGACTGAAATGGATACTGTACTAGGTGTGCGAGTTGCACAAGTTCATATCATCTTTACCCTCCCTCGTCAGTTTCTAGTTGGAATGAACTCCCGAGCGCTAGCTTACGTCGAGTGGTTCATGCCGCTTTGGGAGCCAGATCCCTCCTCTGGCCTGCGTCAAGTGTCGTGTTCGACTCATCAGCTGCATCGGAATGCAGCTGTGATCCATCTTGATGAAATGGTTCGTCCGTGTCACCTCATTCCAAAAATGGGACCATCTGTTGACCCTGGGTGGACGAGCGCAAACGTCTATGAGACGGCACATGATTTTTATTTTAATACTTTTATTGACCTTGAAACATTTTGTATTTCCACTCGTAGTGACTAGAACTAACTACTGCTGCTACTGTGCTACAATGACTACAGATTACTACTACCGTCACCTGAAGCTCTACATAGTCCTGGTTTCGGCTACACCAGTTATGTAGTACTATATAGTAGCCTGGATGTCTACATAGTACTACACCGCCTATGTAGCGCTATATAGCTGCCACTATGACTATGAGGATTTGGTGTTTTTCCTGATGTGGGCTCGGTGTACTGCATTGGTTCTGGTTCTGCCGACATTTCTGCTATCAAACAGCAACAATAGTTCTGACAAATCAATCAGAATCGTCATAGGTAAGTGCAGGATATAAAAGCTGGTCGTCATCATACAGTATTCTCCCATCCTCAGAGATATCCCCATCAAAAGATTCCCTATCACCTCGCACAGAAAATGTGTTGCCCTCTCCTCGCCATTGTTGTTGTTTTGACAGCATCTATGTTTGTCAATGCATGTAAGGGCGTGGCCCAAACTTGCGTAGTAAATTCAGATTGCTGCAATAACGCTTGTGCCGATGATGGGGTGAGTATGAACAGGTCATTGTGCAATCAGGATGACTCACCTGCGCTAGTGCTGCCGCGGTCCGGTCCAGAACCATGGTTCGAACCGGACTTTTGGTCCGGTTCTCCGCGGTTCGGTCCATGGTTCTCGCGCCAGCCAGAACCAGACCAGAAAACGGTTCTCGGTTCTAGATCTTCCCAAACGGTCCAGTTCTGGTTCGACCTTCCCGAACCATTCCGAACCCCGAACCCATTGTTAACTTCGACTTCGACTTCGACTTCAACTTCAACTACGACAACGTCAGTCTCTATGTCGACGTCAAAGTGTCGTCTTCGGGAGTTGCACTATTGGTTAATTAGGCTACTTTTAGCCTTTTTGAAGGTTAGTACTAATCAATCAACTCTCAAGACTCTGTCCTCAAGGTAGTTATTTGTATATCCGTTTTCATTTTATTTACTGATTGAGTTGACCGTGCCACCACCACCACCACCACTTGCTGCAACCACTACCCCACTCCAGCAACAACCAGTGTCTAGCCCATGTGCCCAGCACACGCCAGCAAATGCTGGTGTGGCTAAGGCGAATGCGGACGACACTTTGGTGAAGGAGAAAGGAAGACGCCGGGGGAAAGAGAAAGGAGAAGAGGAATGGGAGAAAGAAAGTTGTTGAGGAGACGAACAAGGTGCGCTGCCCACTCCCAACATACCTCAATGACCTCTCACATCTGGCTTGTGATATTCTCATTATTCCAGGCTCAGCTGTTGCTGTTGAACACATTTTTTCCGGTGGCCGTGATACTACCTCTCTTCGGCATGCTAGCTGTATCTCGCCCACCGTCTCTCACCCCGCTGTCTCTCACCCGCCGCCTCTCACTCGAGATGCGCAGGTGTTTTCTCCCTGTTCTGTGTATAAAAAAAGGTGACAGCAACATCTGAGAATGGAGGCGCGACTCAAACCGCACGTACCTCTCTCATTGTCCTGAATGTCTTCCTTCGCTGACAATGGAGGTAAAATGATTTCAATTCTAACAAACACTCTCACTGATGCGTGCCTTACAAGGCAGCTTACTTCAAATTGCTTGTCTGGATCAGACGCCGCAGGTTCACATTACCCACTAACATCGACAGTAAGCATTGGTTGTTATTGTGTTTTATTTCATTCTCACCATTTGTATAGATCGAATCAGTTAGCTCTTGGATCAGTGGCTACAGAGGCATAGAGTCATATGTAGCCATGTCATTGGAGTAGCTACTTGATGTGTAAACTAGTCTTCCAATGATTTTTTTTTCATGCTCACCACTGAAAATTTTCGGGTTCGGTTCGAGTTCGGACCAGAAAAAAACCGAACCGGACCACAGAGAACCGTTCTCTGTGGTCCGGTTCGGGGTTCGAAGATTTTGCAGAACCAGACCACAGTCCGGTTCTCGGTTCTCGTCCAGGACCCTCTGAACCGGACCGAACCGGACCACGGCAGCACTAACCTGCGCGCCTCAGTATGGAAGTATGATCTGCACGCCGCCGTACTAATGAGCCGGCAGCCCGAGCGGCATGTCGCGACAGTGAGTCACGTTTCTGCTTTCGCTTTGGTATCATGGTTGATGGTGCAATACCTAGTTCGGAGCCAATCAGTACAGTTGTTTTGGACAAATGTTCATACTACTCGAGCAATGTGGATGTTTGCACTTGTCTGAAAATGATCCACCGTGCTTAGTCTTGCTTGTCGCCACTAGTAAGCTTGAGTCGGAGAGGCTGTTGCAACGTTGATGATTGATATTGGGAGGTCGTACGAAGATGGAACGCACTGCCTAGCTTGAATCTGTTCGCCTAACGTTGGACTCGAAGGCTAGCTCATGGATCTCTTTCTCTCTGTATGTGTGTTGAGTTCAACTGTCGAAACGAGCAATCATTGTTGTTGATGATAACATTGGGAGTCGTACGAAAAGGGAGCGTACTGCGCAGAAATTTCCTTACATATAATCTTGAATCTGTTCATCTGACACCAGAGACATTGCCGGATTTGCTGGAGGGTTACCGGTTACCGTTTCAGAACCTTAATATTTTTACTTTGAATACCATTACTATCAACATCGAGATATTTACAGTGTACTACGGAAAAGTTTGTTCCACCAATCGCGTTGCTCCATCACCAGCGCCGTAAGCTCACCGTAAGCATCAAACTTCTTTTTGACAAGCGAAATTTCAAGGTCTTTTGCTGATGGCCGAGTCCTGAACTCGAAATTCAGGAGGAACTGTCATATCTTCCTGGACCTACATAAACACCGTGTACGACAGTTCTTGAAGAGGAAATAATCAGTCAATTGCGATTTTGCAATTGCACCTTCTGATTACTATTGATCTTGTCCACATGGTATCAAGTTCACCGCATGCACTCAAAAAGCCCAACGACTCTAGCAAAGGATACCTTATTTAACGAGGTGCTAACGTCATGATCGTGACTCGCTTTAACCCACCCCAAATCATTGCTTCTCCAGAAGAATCCTCTGTTCATCATCAGATCTATCATGTCATCCAACTCTAGTTGGACACCGGACGAATCGTCTGAAACGCTTCTCGCAGAGAAAGGCTGGTTGCAGGGCACAGTGGTCAGCGCCGTTGCATACGGCATTGGCGTCGCACTGTTCTTCATGTGCTTCCACCTCCTTTTCCGGCAGATGAACCGCACGAACTACAAGAAACTCCTGCCTCTACTCATATACATCACCACAACTTTTATCCTCAGCACCCTATTTATGGCAGGGCTGGCCGACTTCACCCAACTCGCATTCATTCAATATCGTAACTATCCAGGTGGTCCGAGCGCATTCGAGAATGTCAGCATGCCTATGGACAATATTACAGACGTCTGTGGTTTTCTGACGATGATTCTTTCAGATGGATTGGTCGTGAGTGGAGGTATTCGATGTTGAAAATGTTATCGCTGATATATCTGTTCAGGTTTGGCGCTGCATGGTAATTTACAGAGGGTGTATGGTGCCAATGTGGATCATCATGTTCTTCCCTTGTCTGATGTTCGCTGCATCCATCGGTCAGTTGCTTCTTTTAAATATCTATTTGTTTGTATCGGACGCTCACTATTGCATCTGTTAGGTATGGGTATAATATGGCTGCTTCAAGTAACCAACAGTGCCTCATATTTTTCCTCGACTAACGTCGACTACACCATTCCATTTTTCACCCTCTCACTCGCACTGAACATCATCATCACGATTGTTATCGTACTTCGTCTACTCACATATCGTCATCGCATTTCCAAAGTTCTTGGCTCTAGCTACGGCGCTCAATACACGTCGATTGCTGCGATGATAGTTGAATCCGCTGCTCTTTACTCCACGTTTTCGGTGGCATTTCTGACGCTCTTTGGTCTAAACAATCCCATCTCGGAGACCTTTCTGGTGTCGCTGTCTCAGGTTCAGGTTAGTACTGGTGAATAGAGAGGTATTCACGCTGCTTATGACATGCCACAGATAATTGCAATGATGCTCATAGTTTTCCGAGTCGCGCAAGGAAATGGTTGGTCTCAGGACACCATGTCCAAGGTCATGACCTCGAGGCCTTCAGTGCAAACAACCCGTATGGGTGATTTCGGGTACAATTTCCAGGACGGCTCCAAAACGTTCACCGGTTCCACTGGCACGGGGGTACACACGACCTACAAGAGTAAGGACCGCGATTCAGTGGAATTGACTGTGTGAGCAAGTGTCGCTTAGCAGATACTGAGATATTAGTTGTCGAGTGTCCCAGGTCGAAGCAAATACATCTTGACACAAATTTAGTATTTAGTAGTATATACTTGACGTAGGCAGGATTCGATTCGATTGTTTGTACTCCGAGCCACGCAGTGAGCATCTAAAGCAACCTCGGATGATGGGTCCCTGTATATCTTGTTGTGGAATCAATTATACAGGTGACTACAGGCCGCATTCACGTCATAGTAGTATGGTGCATTCTGATCGATTCAAAGTCTGTGAATCCTGTAGTGTCATTATAGTCTCTATACCACTAAGTAGTAAGTTCATCAGAAGTCCTCATGATACATCCTAAAAGCAGTTCATATTAACTTCTCCTGTTATCTACGGCTCCACTGCTATGTACGGCCCGCCGAGGAAGCCCTGGGCGCATCAGCTCATGCAGCCACCATGAGATGTGCGGCGGTACAATCATTCCTCCGAGCCTTGAGGATATCAGGCACTCCAAGTGATGTGAGATTTCCGAGTCGTTGCATTCAAGTTGTAGTCCCATGACCATTATCTAGTGTAGCCTGTGTATGGGTGAAACCCTCACCTGCGCGTCACATTGCAGTGTGCCACGACCAGAAGTCCTCATGGCCAGGTACATCCTAAAAGCAGCTCGTAACTTCTTCCGTTATCTACGGCCCCACTACGACCCACCGAGGAAGCCCTGCCAGTGGGTGCATCAATGATCAGCTCACGCGGGCCCGGCCATCATTGATCATTCCTCCGAGCCCTGACTCAAACGATATCAGGCACTCCAAGTGTGCTACATTGATGTGAGACCTCTGAGTCCTTGTATTATAGCCCCGTGACCGTGTACTAGGGGACCCTCACTGTGCTGCAGTGCGTCACATTGCAGTATGAAGATTATAATATATTTTCTTCCTCAGGAGGGCTTTCCTGATGGCTTTGCCTTTGATCGCCTTTCGGCCCACTTTTGCTCGTGCAGTAGGGTGCCGGAGGATACAGGAGGATACATTGGACCATGACATCATTGCACAAGTCAAAGACATACTAACTTTCGTTAGTGCCGCAGAAATACTGTAGGTCCGTGTCATCTCCGTTGCGTGTTTCATCTTCTGCACGAAACGAGCTAGAAGTTTATCCAAATTCTTACTTGCGAGCATTGCGTTTCATGCATTGATGGCCCGACTTGGACCGCCTTTTGGTACATTTTTGCTATCGCGGCAGCGCGACGGATAATTCAAGAGGATCTCGTCGGATCATGATGTATCGATAAGTTGCACAGATCAAAGATATGGCTAGCTCATTAGCTACACATCAGGATACTAGCCTAGATACTGTAGCTGTATATGAGCTATTTTCATCGCTAAAATTATTCACAAAAGAGACTCACCCTGGAAATTCGAGAGACACGCTATATATCTGGTTGGAGAGATAATATGAGATATATCGCGAAGCCATATTTTGTAAAATGCTAGCATATGATACTCTGACGGTGCATTCAAGTTGCACGAAAGACACCTTGAACACCAATGAAGTTATTTGACATACGAGTATAGCCCAGAGGATAGCTACTGCTGCTTACCATTACTCTTTCACCAGGCCAGGGTCGGCCCATAGTACCCCGGGCCCAAGCAAGGGAACTTTATGTTGAAAATGTGACCAGGTACGCCTGCAATGACACAACATTCAAGTTCAAAATTACAGTCTCTTCAAATGTAAAATGTGCAGCTGTCCGATGCTGTCGTATTAGATAGAAGAAACTCATGCCAGCCAAAATTGAATATTGATGGTCATATGTGCCAATTTGTACGTAAGCGCCGCCCAGTCTGCTAATCGGATCAGGCGCACCGATACCACTCTTCAAATTACCCTTGCCATCATGATCAATTCAAGTCGAAGCCATTCTCCCCGTCATGTTCTCTTCCTCACGCTCCAGGCCGTACAGACCACTGAATCAGACACCACAGGAATTCATTGACTCTGAAAGTGATCATGATGACGACCACAAAGCAAAGACTTCGCGGACTGTGCTCCATTGGCCTCTTGTCATCGTAATCTTCTGCACGTTCCTCAACCTGTTACTGGTATCTACCCCTGCCTTTCTCCAAGACTCTTCAGTATATTTAGACAAACTTATTACTCGAAAGAATGACCACATTCTCCGTCGTCCTTCTCAATATATGCGGTTCGACGAGATCGCACGGACGTCGCCTCCTATTCCGAGAGAGTTCATAAGTCTCCCCATGTCTGTCAGCTTGGTGGATCATTCTGCGTCAAGTCATGTTTTCAATGGCTATCTTGCGATGCGCACGATACGTGCTGGCACAATCTCGCCCAGTGATGACCGCAAAGTCCACGTTACACAAATTGACAATCTGTCAGTTTATCTTCCTTTTTTCTGTGTTCTATAGACTGATGGAATGAAAGGTTTCAACAACATTTCAATTCAGGGCGATCGACTGGGGCATGTAAAGTTGCGAATTGCACGTCGTCATTCACATATGGACTGACCAACTACGCTTGCTTTATATCGCCTCAATGCCACTGTACCAGTTGATATTTCAACGTTATCGTTTAACGTCCGACCGCCACTGGTCGCGAAACTCGATAACATTGTGCTAGGGCAAGACAGCTTGGACTGGCACAGAAGATTTTCTTGTGCGATGGACGACGTTCTTGTTTTCGAGTTAGGATGCTCGGAGAATGAACCAAGCGGTAGCTGCGATATAGAATGGTGGCAGGCTCACAAGGAGACTGCACCGGGTCAGTGCTTTACCACTCTCTATGAAATTCGCTGACAGCATAATTGAACCTCTAGCTGTCTACATGATCCGGCGCTCTACTGTGTAACTCAACTTTCAGATTTCGAAACATTTGGTTTATTTAACAGGTTCAGGCATCTAGTCACAATCTTACGCAATCCCACTTGCCATCAGCCATCTTACTCGTGTACTTGCGAATGTGGACCAGTCCCATAAGTCAGGCCACTTCCAGAGTGAGTGTGTGCAGTATTGAAACTTCGTCACGGCACATAACGGCAGCTGAAATTTTTGCTTGACTTCGGCACTTTCAATTTCAACTACATATCTCACCCAATACTCCTTCTATTGTGGTCGTTCAACCTCGGAATGAATATGAGACAAAACAATATCTATTTCAAATATTTTGTGTTTAAGTACGAATTTTGCAAAAGTGCTGACTTCTATGGAGTGCTGATTGCACAGGAAGGGATCCATGTCAACAGTTAATTTACCTCCGGCGTCGCGCACATAGATAAATCATCTGTCAACGATCCGGTACGAATGGATTTGAAGATCTAAATAATCTTATGTGGGCACCAAATGGTGGGGCCATTTCCCAAACTACTGCACACGAGCTATATGCACCCAAGCTATTCCGCATCGCCCTCCGAGTCGAGCATCATTCCATCAAAACTTTTGATGCCAAGCAAAATAATCCGTGGAACTTAAAATAATCCGCGGTGGAAGCAGAGAGAAATGCCGTTGCTTATGGCTCCCCGGGGAATGACATAGTATCCCCATAGTTTGAACCTCAAAAGCTGGAGTACCGTAAGTATGTAAATAAACCATTACATAGAACTTGCTGTAGGCTACCGTCAGAAACTAGTACGCACTACATATGCCAATGTACCAGTCTAGTCGCAGTAAGTCGACTCCAGTCATTTGCTGTGCATGCAGTCATCATCAGAGCATCCACGAGGTGAGATGCAACCAATTAAAATACATTTTTGATCGGATAATGCTTGAGTGCGCAGATGGCTGTGTGTTTTTGTTGTGCTTATCATGAACGCAGTGGTATTTAAAGGGTGTAACTCCCAATCTTTCTTTAAAACAACGCATGCTAAACACTACACCTTAGCAAAGAACATCATTGACATGATCGTGCTTAACATCAGCAAACTCAGTTTCTATGTTCTACTCCTGTCAGTTGCCTTCGCACAGATCCTAGTGGTCAGTGCTGCAGAGAACAACAACCTGGATTCTGACGATGCGGATCTTGTGGGTGAGTGGGTTCCGGCGATTATGTGGAGCAGGATTGACGAGTTTCGAGACATAGGAGTCTATTCTTATTGAAACCTAAATACAGCTGGAGGGTTGAAAGTCGACGCAAAGCAGGACATATTAGTGTATGGACACATTACAGATGACGTTGGGAGTAGAATGTCATTGCACGCACGGGATTGTTTGTTTATACTGACTTCTCGATCTCCTGTGAATTTTTTCATTACCCATATACAGTGATTCTGATGATTGTATGATATTGCGGGGCTTAATTTTTTGGAGCGAGGCCTGCATGCGCGACAGCATCATGAGAATGGGCCATGCCTTTGGTCGAAAATGCTGAGGAAGAAGTTGGGGAATTAAATCTCGCTGTCATTATCGGTGTTGCCACCTCGAGAGTGCACTGAGAGAATTTCGTGAACCAAGGATTAGGTACGAGTAATAAGGTGCGTGACGCACGTTCCTCGTCTCGACGATGAAGAAGTGGCAGAAGACAGCCTCGAAATACAGCCAGAAATTGTACACCAGCTGGAATAAACATTAAACATACTAAAATTTTGAGAGAAGGCTCACGTAGCACTTCCATCGCAAAGTGAGCGTCAAATTTCACAAGCCACTGTGGAGATTCGGGGACAAACCAGATCGATGAGACTTGTATCATGAATGAAGTACAGAACGAATTTTTCATGACATCAGTGCTCTCCTTCCTCGTGTTGGCTCTTGTGAAGAACATACAGGTGTTCCTGTACTATGGTGTTGAATGGAGCATATGAGCATGAATTATGAGTGAAAAAGAGCGGGTGACACTACAATCTCAACATGTTCCGGCCAGAGAACCCCTAGCTGCGGTATGTGAACTTAGGCCGCATTTAAGAAGACTAACAGAGATTTCAGTATACGTCCTGTTGGCATCTCCTCGACATTCAGGCCTGCGAGTTGCTCCTGGTGGAGTACTAAAGTCCCTGAGAGCATATATGTAAGTAGCATAGGCGACAGGGGAAATCAGTTTATCCACACCTGAGTTTCAAACGTGGCGAGGAGCGTGAATGGTAATTCGCGTGGGCTAGAGACTCGAGGTGGCGCAGCATCACTAGGAGCACGAGACAAAGCAACGCGCACGCGCGACGCTACATGATGCCGTCATGACTCGTGCCTCGACTCACACTCGAAGATCTCAAAGTTTCACGATTTAACCCTGCAGTACCACCAGCTAAATACGAGGACATCCAGGAAACGGCCAGTCTGGGGCCAAAGTCTGGGGCGGAGTCTGGGGCCAAAGTCTGGGGCTGCGGCTGACGCGTGCGGAGCTTAATTCGGAGTTCTAATTATATCTGGTCACGTTTGCAATACCAGTGTGACCCGTCCATTGTGAGTCGTGAGTCGTGACCCACCCTTTGTGACCTCTTGCAGGCCGATCTCACACTGCGCTCGGTGACATCAGTGCCTGTCATGGATGTCGGCCATCTGTTCAATGCAATAAAAAAACACCCTCCGACGTGCTAGCCTCCTTAAGGATGATATCCTTCAACCCCAACCTCAGCGCATCTCTGTCTCCCATGCACCCGATGTGCTTCCAGACAGTGTCACGAAGTTTCTCGCTACGTCTCTCGACATGTCATCCGATGCAGTCGATAATCTATGGTACATTGTGAAGGATCTCGTCTGGGAACTGCCAATGAGTGCTGAGACAAGCGCTGAGGATGAAGTTGCGTTCAAGCTCCATGGCTATGAACTAGGACTTGGTACTGTGCCCACACATCGCATCATGATTGTCATACTAATCCAACTCACAGTGGGACGCACACTATATCCACCAGTCAAGACTTGCATCAACCACGACTGCACCGCATGGCAGCATGGCACACTGCTGAAGAAAGAGGAACAGCGCCGCATTGTCATATTTACTCACAGCAAGGGCGCAAAGCCTGCATGGACAGTGCACTTAAAGTGTCGAGGTGCGTTTGTTGTGCTCTATGCGTATGATAGCCTCACTGACCCATAATGCCTACAAAGAATGCAATACGAACTACCAGTTCAACTACAGTGTCAAGGACCAGCTCCGAACATACTACAGCAGCATCCCACAACACATTCAAGTCTCAGACCATCAATTTGTTGAGCTCAACCTTGCCATGCATTGGATGGACCTCATGCAGATCGCATCAGTCTCTATTGTTTTTGCCTTTCATGCACTTATTTACTGATACTATGTTAGTGTTTCAGTGACGAACTGTGGTCATTTGTATGGCATTGCCCAGACATGTCGCACTCATGATGACACCGACCACTGGCAATTTGGGAACGTAATCACGACAGAGCAAGTCTGGGACTGCTTTGTAATACTTGCCCTACTCGACGACCATAAACTACGAGGAGAATGCCTGGTAGTGCCGCATGACGGCAACCAGAAAAGTTGCCTTATGCAGGCCATGTATGCACGCAACGCTCGTATTGTCCTCCAGGGTCAGGAGGAGCTCCCTCATACTTGTTTCGGATGCATGCGGATATTGGAGATGCCAGATGGAATGCTTCGCCATACGGAAGTCATTGTGTTACAAGTAACATCGGTCACGTGGCCCCCCTATCATTTTCCCTTCATCCTCGCCCTCACCATCTACCGGCTCGTCCTCCTTTACCGACTTTCTGTTAACCGGATCCTCGGGACTGTTCCCGTCCCTCGCATCACCCGCCTCTACGCACGTGCACGCACGTTCCTCCTCTGATTCGACCACCAATGTGGTCCCACACCTATGACTCGGTCTGACTCGTGCCACCAATGTGGCTTTCCTCTTTCTGTTTCCCCTGACTGCGGATTCCCGCACGTTGTATTCTTACTGTTGGTCCGTTCCAACGTTTCTCGGTCTCATTCCACATTCGACCACCCATCACTAATCCGGCTATGTTGCCAACGCACCTATACCATTCTCGTTTCCCCTTTACCCTTACCTACTGTGCGGTAGCCTTGCCCTTAACCCTTTCCACTTAGTATAAGTAGTCGGTCACCCTGTACTAGATTCTCTAACTTGAATCTACTCAATCTTCCCTGGAACATACTCCTCTCTGAAGCCCCCTCAGCTTCAGTCTCTAGTATCTTTTCTTAGTCGCTCATCGCGACTAAGTCTACCTCGATCAACCTCATCGTCCGGACAAGACAGTCCTGACCTTGAGTGACTTCACAGACATCCGTCTATGAAGTCACGTGACACGCGCGTACTGTGATCGCTGCCGACTCGTCGTCGCCAGTCTCACTTGCTATACCGGACCCTTCCGGTTACGTCATGAACGTTAGCGGACGACGCCCCTCTTAGGGCTCCGCCTAACAGATCTATTTGAGTGCGTAACACATTGTGACTGACGGTGTGACAGTCGGACGGCCATGTTGCGCTGTCGCACGGTGCAAAAATGCTCTTGAGAGCAATCGTCATCATTTCTGTGCAGCAGAACATCGCCACCTCGAGTCGGTCTGTGCTGTGGACAGCTGTAGCGAGCCAGTGATGCCGGTTGGTGCTGATGGGAAGATGCACAAATCTTGCGATGATCCGGTTCATCTTTGAATGGAGGCTGCCAATGTTGAATCCTCGCGTAGTGGCAAGAGCAGAACACAACACCAGAGACTTGTGAAGTTGAATGATTCAATTGCTACGCATAACATTTCTCCCCCAATCATGACTCACACAGAAGAAGACGTCCCCCTTCAAGATGTCGAAGAATGGTATGAGCACGATAATGTGTCTGGTGCTGTGCGCTTCCGTCAGGCGCCAACAACCACATCAACTGGAGTCTCGGATGTCGATGGGTGCGGTGCCAAGGATATCCCATCCAAGATCAAGGCTACATTCCGGCGTCAGCGTACGAACAACGAACAACTCATCGTTCATCCCTGTGGTATCATCTCTGGTCGTGGTACAATGTACCACCATGAGGCTGTCTCGAATGTGCTGGTAAGTTTGGTTTTCTGTCGGAAGGACTATGCTAACTTATGTTCTTAAGATTATGGTCGAGAAAATGTTCTCCCTCCCACGTGCACGTAAGCCGCAGCACTTGATCTATGACTCCAATTGCAATGCGTTGCGGGAGGTTGAGAGTCGTAAGATTGCGTTCTTCGAGGGAATGGGAATGTGTGTAGATGCCTTCCATCACAAGACAAAGCACAAGGCCAGTGATCTGTTCTGCCGCGAGCGCTGTGACATGAAGGCCTACCCTGAACTCCTCGACGACGACAGGGGGTACTATTTCAACTCATCGATTGTGGAGCAAACAAATGTTTGGTTTGGCAGTTTTCACAACATCTGTCGAGAGATGACACCAGTGAAGTATGATTTTTTTCTTGACGAAATGATCCTCCGTCGAAACCGTATGACTGTTGCTACCCTTCGCACACAAGGCAAACTTCCTCACCATCCACATGTTTAATGACCTCCCAATGTATGATATTTTTGTTAGTACATAATAATGGTGCCGTCGAAAATACAGCGCAGCTTCTCTCAGCGCGAGTTAAAAATGAATCAGTACTAGCAGTAACCCGTGGTTTTTGCCCAAGTAAAACTAAAAGTGCGCTGTAGGGATTAATCTCTAAGCAAAAACAGGCATCACACATCATATTAGAGATGATTATCATCGAGAAAATGTCTGAATGAAGCAACTTCCCAGTGTTGCTGCCCTATGATTTTTGTCGAAGGTGCTGTTACGCTGACCGTCGGTCGGCGTGTGCGAACTAGGATAGGTCTTCTCAGCGACGACTCAAGTGAGTCTACTAAAGCTAAGGGTGGTTCTCAGCTTGACAGAACGTCAAGGGTTCCTCCGGTGATCTCGGTAAGACGGCACTCGTCGAGATACAGGGCTAGCGGATACGGCTAAGAAGCAGGGAGCAACTTAGAAGTGCGGTCTTATACAAGAAAGCTGGAAGGCTTAGTTGAACAAGTTCTGGGATGAACCTAGTAGATTAAAGTAAAGTCTAAGTACAATAATCTGTCTACTTATATGTGCTACATATATGTATTCTAGCTCAGTCTGTAATCTATAGTATATCTAGGATCTATGATAACAAGACATGAGGTCAGATAGGGTACATGAGGCTTAACCTCTGATCAAGCATGCAGCGCCAAGTGCGACTGCGCATAGGTACATGAGGCGCCAAGGGCACTCCGGATCTTCATGAAGCGACATGCTGTATACATGCGCTGATCTAGGGTGACCATGAGGCGTACAGCCTCCATGGATCAGGTACAAGGCCATCTAGGCCAGGGGCGGGTCACAGCGCCAGGGGCGGGTCACAGCGCCAGGGGCGGTGTCACAGCGGTCCAGACCACTGTCTTTCTAAGTGCAGGCGGTGTTCCGCCGCGTCGGGAGTCTAGCAGAGTGGGGGCAGGCATAGGCAGAGCTGGGGCTCCTGTAGGTGTTACGGATGCCTGTAACAGGTGCTCGATCGAAGATGATGTTTGGATAGTTTAGTGGGCAGCCCCAAGCTTTCTTGAAGTAGTCCTGCACTCGCGCTGAGAGAAGCTGTTATGAATGTGATTCATATGAATACTGATCCAAAATTGTTTACGAAACAATTTTGGATCGGTGTGGTTTTGAAGGCGCTCGAAGACCTTGATCCTCCTTCAAGGGTTCTTCACCACACCGATCCAAAGTTGTTTATGAAACAACTTTGGATCGGTGTGGTTTTGAAGGTGCTTGAAGACCTCGATCCTCCTTCAAGAGTTCTTCATATCCCTCCTGCTATCCAACATCATCTTCGAGCAGGCCAGTGGACGAGCGTGACAGAAACACCCTTGAAGAAATTCTTAAACTGCCTGAACTGCGAGGAATCTGAGTGTGTGACGGCCAGTGGGGTTCGGACAAAGCAATGGATAGTAGGCGCTACATAAAACAAGTGTATATAGAACAAACGTAGGTGCTATATAAAACAAGTATAGAACAAACCGAGGGACAATACTTTGACACTACTTCCGCTGGCTATGTTTCTTGCTCTCCAGACCCAAGGCAATGCAGCGCGCAGCAAGACAGTTCGACCAAAGGCCATCTTGAGTGCGCCCGCTTTGCTTGTGTGCCTCGAGGATGGTCAGTGGCGTCTCGCGCCACGCCTTGCGATTTTCATGATATGTGGCCTTAACAAATGGAGTGTCACCAAAGATGAGACGAAAAAGCTGCTCCTGACCATAGTTACGGAACTTTGGGATGTCCATCTGCTGAAAGCCGACAACCATATCAACTGTGTACATTCCCTGTGGCCAGACTCGTCGTGGCTTGCCATGATCGTATATTGGGACATGCACAGGAATGATGGACGGAGAAGCCTGAGCTGACTGGTGAGTTTCCAAAGGTGGCGCTGGTTGCCGAATGTCATTGACTGCAACTGATGCAGACATCGAAGGCGCAGACTCAATGGATGAGGAGAATGTTGATGTCACGAGCAGTGGCATTGGTGACATTGAAGTAGCGCGACGGGAATTGAAGTCATCCTCTGGTGGTTGACTGGGGAATAGTGATGGTGTCGGCGACATCGAGTGGGTATCTCGTGCCAGTTGCACTCATGTAGTAATGTGCATCTCTTGTTCTTGGCCAGGGCTTTGAGCCCAGCGGCGCTTTCCCAAGGACACCTTGGGTGTAAGTTGTGCCTCGTTGTCCAGAATCTCGATGTCCGATGATGAAGCGGCAATGGATGTCTCTCGTCGCTTTGTCTTCTTGAGCTCAGGTGTAAGTTGCATGTCGTCATCGAGAATCTCGACATCCGATGATGAAGCCGGGGTGGATGCCTGTCGTTGCTTCATCTTCTTGCGTATGCTATCACGCTCACCCTTCATATTGAAGCGCATGTGAGAAGGGCGAGTCAACAGTTTGGAAGACTTAAATAACTCATCGAAGCCGCTGCACTCAGTGACACCATGACGTCGTATGAAGACGTGGCAACCCGAGTCAAGAGTGAAGGGGTGAGCGAGCGTTGACGGAATCCAATGCATGAAGCTTTCCTCAAAGACGTCGATTTTTGAAATATTGCTGCCAAGGGAGTTGACAAGGGTGGGATCATCTGAGAGCTGATATTGTGGGAAGTACGGGCAGTGAACAGCCCACTGCATCGACACTGGCGTGTTGTCCTACACATCAGCAGTAAGTATTGTGGCGAAAGGGAAACCAAGAAGTAACTCACAGCATCAAACCAGTACAAGACAAAGTGCTGCCTGGAAGCTCGTTCCATCTCCTTGCGACGTTCTGACACCCTCTTGCTCTCAATTTCCTCTCGCGCACGCGCATTGAGGTCACCTGTCCACATTGGGTCAAGTTGATCGGTTACACGCAGAGGCTTTGACAGCTTATGAACCGGGAAGGCGTGTGGAGCTAAGGCATCACCATGCTGAGAGCGCATTGGCAGCCGGGTGATTTGCAACAGAGGGGGCAGATGAGACTGCTGGGATGGCGCGGGTGGTTGCAATAGTGTGGGTGGTTGCGATGGCGCGGGTGGTTGCGATGGTGCGGGCGGTTGTGTTGTCGACGCGGGTGGTTGCGATGGTGCAGGAGCTATCAAAATATCATGAAATGATGGGAACACAGCAGGCTGTCCAGCGCCAACAGACTGGAGTGCACGTTGAAGTGCTCTCAGCCCGTCGTTCGTCTGAACTCCATCCTCATGCCAGTAGGGCTCAGCAGGGAGTGCGAGAGTATCCTCAGCAGGGAGCATAAGAGTATCCTCCTGATCATAGTCCCAATTCCACTCCTGCTGCGCGATAGGGTGCTGCTGCTGGTTATCTGTCTCAGTGAGGTGCACTGGACATCCTCCCGCCTCCTCGATACAATGGGTGAGGCACTTCACATGCGGACAACGCAGCACGCTCGCTCGTTGGCAAAAGGCACCGTTGCATTTGATGCCTCGCTTGCGTGGCTTCTTGCCATTGCCAGTTGAGGCAAGAGGTTGCGTTGAAGGGAATTGAGTTGCGGAAGCAGCACTAGTGCCGCTCGTGAAGGTAGAAGGTGCCGGCTGAGAACTGGTGAGACTTGGGGAACGACTTGATGATGGGAGGAGGGCCATGATGTCTGGATGCGATAGAATTTGAGGGAACCAGCAGAAGAAGGAACATGATTGATGCTGGCAAGAAGGGTTAATATAAGGGTCAATAACTCATGCGGATAACACACCCTTGCCATCGGCTTCCCCGAGTTCCCATTCGCATCGCTCCGACATATGGTGATTGGAACTGTACCCCCACAATTCATGCAATCGGTGACAAGGCCAACTGCAGATTCACGCAGAGCCAATCTGGCCAGGAATGCGACATCCGCCTGTTGCAAGGAAGACATTGTGATAAGCGCTATCAAGAGTATGTAGGCGATGGCAGGTAAGAGACAAGTTGGGCGAGGAGGAAAGATGGGCGGGAGAGATGAGGCAGGATGGGCGATGAGCGACCATGATATGGTCCATTTTGATCGGAGCACGAACATAGCATGCCAACTGCATGTGGTGGGTTGACTGGCGGGTGCGTCGGCAGCCATCTACGACAGGCACACTACTGCTGACAGCAGGCGCGATGGCAGGCAGCTTTGGAATTGTCACAAAGCAAGCACGTGACCAAATACAATTCAAACTCAGCCCGGGTCAGCCGCATTTGCCGAGCGCCCCAGACTTTGGCCCCAGACTGGCCAGATCTCTGACATTCACCTAAATACATACCAACCAAGAAACAGAAAAAGGAAGCGTTACTGGAGGCCGTCACGGTGACCCTGTCTGTAGTACACTAGTGGTCACATCAAACCAAAATCAAACCCATTTCACTAACTGCCACGATGATCAGCTCTCACCCAATAGCTATAGCGTTTGAGGACGACTACGCCATTTGACGAAGACCCCAAGCAATAGAATGCTGCGTTACTACAACAAGCTCCGTTTTACCCAGATACATTGCGTGAGCTATTTTTCTTTCAATATCATGTTACCTGCTCTTACAAGGTACTGTAGAACCGCAGAAGATCCTGAAAGGTCATGATGGACCAACCAAATCCAAGGGAAAGGAACCGGTCATACTTGGGCCCCCTCGACCTCTGGGCGACAAAACGCCCCTCCCTAACCGCGTTGCCAACCATGCCACACCATTGCAAATGACTTCAATGACTATCTTGAACGATGCACTAAAAAGCAGACTGGGCGAACCTGCAATGTTGCTGCTGATTCGTAGCGAAAACTCATTTCATCAGAGACGCCCTTAGACATCATGCTGATGTGTTACAGGTGCTTCGGTATTCCTGATGTCATCACCGTCGGTCTCGATCTAAGTGTATGTGATGACGTGGCTGTAACTTCGCACATACAGAGACACAAGAACGACTTATCTGACGAGATCATTGAACAGCACTGTGCTCCGTGCGTCTCTATTTGTAAATTTCTGAGCGGTACCTGAAGACTAGGATCATACTTGGAATCGATATCCTGGTGTGCGTGTTCCTGTCCCTCATCATACTTCTTTGTCGGGTTCTTGTTTGATTGATTTTATGAAGAAACACCTCGTCAAGATAGATATTTAGCTACCGATCAGTCAACTACAGAGAAATGATATCGATCAAGAACGGAAAGTCAGATACATACTCTGAGTGTGGTGTGCAAGAGCGCAAATCATGCACAAGGCAGGCCTAGCCACAACGTGTGAGAGAGCTCATGTAACTTACGGTACAAGAGCACGCAAGAGGAGGCGTGCGTTCAATGGTTCCATTATTTACAGGAATTTAAAGGAAAAAAACACACTTACATAATGCAAGTGAGAGGATAGCAGGTGCAGGAAAGTGGTAGCATGCAGCAACAGGCGCAAGAAATTGGCGGGAGGTGTTGCACAGCATATTCCTGAGGATTTCTAAAATTCCTGGATGCGTGCCACATACATTGAAATCTACTCGTACAATCCGCTTCTCGAACCTTGAGAACAAATACAACATACGGTGCGGACACATTGCGTTCTTCACTGATACCTTGTCCCGAAAATCCCCTCTTCGTATGATTTGATTTCTGAATGTCATCAAGCTCATCAGACCAGAATCAGGAGGAGAGAAAACGACTTACGCAATGCGAGATGCTTGGAGTGGAACCTACAAAGCGCCAAGTTCCCCATCATGCACCATATACCATTGAGTTCCGCGTTCTTGCTGCGCCCACCAACTTCGCGCCAGACGCTATTCAGCTCTCCTTCTTTGTCAAGGCCCCAGATAGGATACATTTTATCATGCAGGGACTCCGGAAGCAGAGCACGATAGGCATGACGTGCATCAGCGTAGCTGATAATAATGTGAATCACAATGTCTATTGGTCAGTAAGAAGAACGTACCCAGTTGCGAAGATCACTACGTCCGCGTCGAGAGTAGAACCGTCATCGAAAAGTAAACCTGTCTGGGTAAAGCGCGAGATTGGCCCATCGCTCTTGAGTTTAATCTTCCCGTCGATGATCATCTGTGAAGCTCCAACATCTTGATATTAACATTATATGGTCAGTGCAGACACGCTCCAATCCGTAAATGGACCAACCAAGATAGTATCCTCCTCCCTTATTCCATGCCATAAGTAGAAAGCCAGAGTCGTCGTCGCCCAAAGTTGTCTTGAAGCCTCGTTTTCGCAGACCGTCAAGAAGCTCCCTGAATCCCTCCTCCATCAGGCAACCGGAATATGATATGCAATCACGTACTTATCTGCATCAGCAATGTCTTTGGTGACACGTTGGTGTACTAATTTGAGCAATGAATTTGGGTAAGACGCATTCACGCGATCCGCGACATCAGTAGGAGGGCCGCCCTCCCAGAAGATCGCTGGGTGCGTTTATAATAGCAAAATTGTGAAATAACAGACAACTCACCCATTAACCTCGGCATCCCCTCCCTTGTGGACATGATGTAACTCGGGCTACGTTGAACCATGGTCACATCTGCGCCAATTTTGCTTAAATATCATCAACATGCTTTAAAAAATCATTTACCAACGCCATTTTCGACATAGTCCGCACATATGTCATGCGCTATACTTTATGGTGAGCAGTGAAGATACAACACTCATGATACGACCCATACCAGACGTGCAAGCGCCAACAACGACGACCTTCTTCCCTGCGTGATCAGTTGCAAGATTGTGATGGCTGGAATGCAATATCTGCCCCTTGAAATTGTCCTATGTGAGTATTTAATGTTAGCCTAAGGATCCTACATTCATGGATCGAACGAACCTGCCCTGGGATATCTGGAACTCGGCCTATACCACTACCAAAGCCCAGGGAGAATACGACATGGTTGACCTCAAAGGTACGCTCGCCTCTGTCAGGACGTTGGACCGTGACACTCCATTTCTTTCCCTTCGTACCCGGAATGACGGACATGACCGTAGCGCTGGTCCAAACGTCGAGCTCCATACTGTGTGCATATGATTCTAGCCAATCTGCCAGTTTCAATGCAGGCGTGTAGACAGGCCACGAGGTAGGGAACCTGCGTAATTTTTGATTAGACAGTCATGGACGAACCGAGGTGAGAGACTCACGGAATGTATGGCATGTGGTCATACCCTACACATAGGTGGATTGAGCAAGAAGCAAACACAATATTCTGACATAGCGATAGGCTCACAAACGGGATCATGGAGACACAGCGCTGCATAACGCTTTCTCCAATTATCACCAATTCTCTCGTTCTTTTCCACTACTAGAGTCTTCATGCCAAGCATCTTAAGCCGGGCTGCAACGTCGAGCCCACTCTGCCCGCCTCCTATCACTACGACGCTGGGCTCTTCGTCGATACATTCAATTTCACGTGCACGCTTCGCGGCCCACTTTCCGTGGTTTGGCTGGTAGTCTCGTCTGGGCCCAGTCTGTTCTGGAAAACCTTTGAGATTTTCCAGGTTCGTGAAGACGGTATGGGCCTTCCATGAGCCATCTGCGAGTGGTACAAGCCGGAACACACCAGATGCAATACCGACTGTAGTTTCAAAGTCAAAAAATGCCTGAATCCAAGCGATATCAGGGTATGGTCTCTGAAGCTCTACGAGATCTTCCCTGAGTTTGAAAGAAGACAAGGTAAATAGTGGGAGTTGGTCTGTGAGGAATGTTTTCACGGAAGGAATGCTTTGGAAGGTATGGAAGTCCCATGTTAAGGAGAGCATATCGCGCCAGAAGACATCATCGACGAGGAGATCTATGACTGCTGATATACTCTTTGACTGCATTGCTTCTGCGAAAGCTAAGAACCATTGACTCGCGATGGCTTGAACATTGACATCTGGAGGAACTGAGCTTCTGAGGCTATCGAGAGTAGGGAGGGCCAGTTGGTTCGCCATGATGGACAGAAGACATGATCTTGCGATAATCACCGCTATAAATGCTTTTTGCCAGGACGGAGTTTCATCAAAATCCATACGTACGGACCTTCAAATTCCGTTCTACTTCCTGATCAGATGTTCACATCCATCGACAGAATCATGATAGGGGATGCATCTGAGCTCAAGTGACCTGCCACCGTGACTGCGAGGGTGACAGGCTTTGATAACGTTCTAAAGTTGGCCTAAAAAGATTAGTCACTTGCAATGCAAAGTTGCCACGCTCACCCGAACCTGTACTATTGCAGTGAGTCAGTCGAAGTTCCCCGCAGCAGATCAGATACGACCCTAATCAATGCTCTCTCGTACACCCGACACCTGTCGTGAATGAATTCTCCAAATCTTGCTGCTCTGCCCGACGATCTTTTATTGGAGGTAACATCATGCCTATCCTCTAGGGCGGATATTCTCAACCTGGCACTCTCAGTAAGTATCCCAAACTCAATTATGACTTGTTCTTTCCTGAATCCATCACACGAAGAGCAAATACCTGTTCACTAGCACATGCCCTGTATTGTATGCCCATGTGCACCTCGGGACCGCAGAACAATGCCAGCGAACCCTGTCGATGCTCCGTTCTCGCCCGGACGTTGCGCGCCATATCCAGAAACTCCACATTCGATTTTCTGCCTCCTCCAACTATATGGTCGATATCAATGGAATTACGATCTCAGCGATGCTGAGAGAATTAGCGCCGAAACTGGATGTGCTCCATACTTTCATCTGGGATGCGGATGAGATCCCTCAATGCGATGATATGTGGTTCGCCTTACGAATGTCGTATGTCTGATCGGCGAATCATTTCTCACTAATTACTCAATTTTGTCACAGGTGCCCACGACTGCGCACACTTGGCACATGTTATGGATCTGTGATACCCAGCCAACGAAGCCATGTATGTGCATAACAAAAATGTGTACCATTCATTCATTTTCTTCAGTTACTGGGATTTAAGAACCTTCGTGGGTTCTCGTTGACCCTGAAATATGGATATCACACTCATCATACAGATGACTTTCAAGGTCTGTGCTTTGTTGACATGTAATTTCTTAGCACTCTGATGCGTCGCAGATGCTCTTCCTTTCGATGGTCGTCTTTGGGATATGCTGATCAGGCGTTCTCCGGACCTGGAGGAGCTGCATGTCTTGGGTGGACCGTTGATTCTAGACGGAACAGTACACCCGCTCTGCAACGCACGCTGGCCCCTCCTACATTCCCTATCTCTAGGGGACGTCATGTTAGATTGGTCTTCAGGACCAGGGCCCATGTCCTCCAAGCGCCCCTTCATAGCTTTTTTGGAGGCTCATCAGCGTCTGCGGTTTTTTCGTATATCCCGCACTGCACTGAGTCCTCATATCCTCCCTTCACTCGATCCATCCGCTTTACCACACCTTACCCATTTTACTGGTTCGTTGGAACACCTTCAAGCCCTAGCCCCATCCCATCCACAAATCACACACTTAGCGATCGAGGAGCCGCTAATCATCCGTGATCTCGCACCTCTTTTAATTGCAGGGGTGTTGCAGAGCCTGCGCTGCCTCACTGAACTTCGCGTTGCCTTCGTTTTTCATTCTTCATATGAAAATGGAAACTTGATTAGAAACCTTGTAAGCGCTTGCCCTGGACTGACCACGTTGGAGATAACGTGCGCAAGAAGGTCGTCCTTCAAAGTTGTATGTCTTTCTTGTTTGCCACCTGTATACTAAGTTTTTCGATGTCTCTCAGGACACACTAGCCAAATCCGTCAACTGCCTCCCTCGTCTGCGTCACCTACGGTTGACGCTAGTTCCGATAGCCACAGGGGACTCATTGCGCGTTTGCGCATCCCATGTCGTACAAGCGATCCCACGCTTACAGTCATTTGCACTGACGTTCATTTCTGCCTCGCTTCCTCTATCTCTTACCCCCGTCGATTTTGGCTTGTATGAGGAGAGTGGGAACTACATTGTTCGTACCGATGAGCATGGGCTGCCTCATTCTCTGAGCTGCACCGAGCGAAGACCTGCGCTACGCCTGCCCTTCACACTTCCAAGCATCCCCATCCCACTAACAGTGCCGCTACTGACTTTTTCTCCTTTCACATCTTCTTCTCCGCCAAGGGAGAGGAAAATGAGAATGCAGCGATACTTGCTGAACCTCCATCCAGGCACTTCCAAGCATGGTGGGTTAGGTCTTATTTTAGAGCGTAGTACGGCAGGGGATGAGGCGAGGGTGCTTACTGTTCTTGTAGCCCTGAGCGGGCTTGCGCTGTGGGGTTTCTTTGCATAGATTTAGTGGGTACGTACAACCTAACAGCTCTTATTTAAATTATTTATTATTTATCGGAGTTAAAGTTAATTTATTGATGGAGCACATCATGCTGCGCATGGTCTTACTTCGCTCGGAATTTGGGGACATGATATTGATAGATTCTCAAAGCCAAGAAACATGTCAACTCACCTGTGTATCAGGCACTAACTTGCACTTTCAGGGTAATGGAAACTACTGCAGCACAGGGTTGCTATCAAATTCATAACGCGCCAATCGTTTACTATACAGCCTGCGGTATATGGCACATCATTCTCATCGTGGGGCGATGCGTGCGGTTGTTAGTTCCTCCGAGGGCTTAGTACAAGCTGCGATGGTGATTCTCTGGGAACATTGGCACATCATGTAGCCATGCGGTTGGTTATCCCTCCGAGGGCGACCATGCCAGGACATATGGTCATATCAAAGACATCAAAAAGAAGGTAGGCTAGAAACGAAGGTACATGCGACCCGGTTCACAACCAGTACGGCCGAGATCTGCTCTAGTAATATTCTGATTATGAGCACCGACGATATTCTAATTATACCAGCAATATTATGACATTCTCCTAGATGAGTTCTGAACCTCTACCATCACTCGTTCTGGTCACCACTCCGTAAATCCAACACTTCTGATCTAACTTGGTTAAAAATGATTGTATGCTTTGATGATAGCGATGGATGTATCAGATAATGTCCTGCTCAGCAGCTGTTAGTAGTTGACACGCCAAAGCTCGGTTTCTGTAGTTTGAAGTTTGAATCACCATGTCCTTTGTAACCGCCCGGCGTTAATTCTCGATGGTATATGTTCTCTCTTAACTTGATCGCTATTTGGCTAACTTTTCCGTCAGTATCGGAGTTGGTCAGAGAACCACCGACAGCGCGCTAGTTTGCGCTGAGAATGCGCTTTTGATACATTTTGTGGCAATGTGAAAGCTCACCCATCGCATCGCTGTGCACTACACCACTACTGATCCAGCCAACCCCAAAGCAATTACATGGAAATATACAATTCTTTCTTTAAGGGAAGTTACAAATATCGACAGGACATTGTCACTTGTCCATCACGCACGCGTCCGCCATGACATAAGGACCACCAATTGCTTGACCATACAACATTCACACAGTCCAACCTCCTTAACCTCCAGCCAAGAAACCGCGATCATTGAGCCCGATCTTCCAGATATCGTCATATCGCTTAGACTTCAGGTCTTGCTGAATACAAATATATCAGCGGGACTTGTGACAACTCCATCAGATATCACATACGCAAGCGATGCTGTAAAGAAACGATAATTGTGTCGATTGACTCCAACTTCTTCTGAGAGCGTTTAGCCGATCCTGGTATCCAGTGAGAGAAGCCAGCTTCACATGTATGAACGGCAGAGCTCAGAGCTTCCCTGACGGCAGCTGCATTGGGAGACACTATGTGCTGCTGAAGAGCAACACGAACAGGGTAAACGAACTCCTGACCAAGTCCATGGGGATCCTGGTCCCAAAGATAGAAAGCGTTTTTCGAAAATAATGACAGCAGCTTATGATCAATAATCAGCAGATTCATTGCGATGTGGCATATAATCTCACCAGAATCAAGCTGCATAATCTTCCTCGATGTTGACAACCCGGAGGGCTAGTGAACCCTTGAGATCGGAACCATGTGGATGAGCTGTGAGCAATGCGACATACTGAAAATTGTAACGTGGACCACATCTCGACTTGTAATGCTGATGAATCATGATCAAAAGGAAGAAACGGTTCAGGCCAAGTCTACTTCCATACTGTGATTATCAGCACATCAGTGCTCCAGCTCGACATAGGATCAACACACTCACAGACTGTCAAGGGATCAGCAGCGTGTTCGGTCAGCGAGACTCGAGCTTGACAGAGGATAAACACATTCACGATCTGTCAAGGGATCAGCGACATATTCTGTCAGCGAGGCTCGAGCTAGACAGAAGATATTGACACACTCACAGACTGTCAAGTGATTAAAATGTGTTCGGTCAGCGAGGTTCGAGCTCGATAGAGGTTCAACACACTCACATCCTGTCAAAGGATCAGCAAAGCTCCAGTTCGACAAAGGATTGACACACTCACAGCCTGTCAGGGGATCAGCGATGTGTTCGGTCAGCGAGGATCCAGCTCGAGACACTCACGAACTGTCAAAGGATCAGCAGCATGGTCGGTGAATGAGGCTCCGGCTCGACAGGGGATCAATACACTCATAGACTGTCAAGGGATCAGTGATACATGTGCGGAATCTGGCATTATGCATGTAAAGATACTAGACAAGAAGATGACAGCAGGACCGATCACCCGCAAGAAAGACACTTTGATGACCAAGTGTCTTCACCATCTCTATTGTAGGCCTAAAGGAGTTTCAAACATGTGGGAAAATCGAAGAGTGTCCTGGCGGTGGCCAGCGTGCTTCTGTGCTTCTGTGTTTTCTGGAATGTTCATGTTAAAAAAATGTTCACTTTCACGACGAGAAGATGTACTCCACCGCTCGAAAAACCTTGGAATCGTCAACTCGTTTGGAGGAGTGACGAGAATGAGAGAGTACATTAACCTGCTATGAATGACTTTGATGAGTGTGAATGTCCGCCTTGGAAAACCATGTGTACTATTACCTACGATAGATACACGGGAGCAAGCCCCCCAAGTAAAGGGCTCAGTCCAACATAGGGTCTACGACCCCAGAGGACAATAAACCTGATTTAAAAAAAAAAAAAAAAAAAACCATGTGTACTTTACGGACACTTACGGAGAGGCCAGTCACCCAACTTTGATGGATCAGCGGGGGATACCTTCGCGCTGGGTAATTCACGAGTCCAGGTGTTATACAGGCACCCTTTAAACTAGTTAGTACTACCTGACAGTGTACGCCACTTCGATGGACAGAAATC